GGCGTGGCTTGGTGGTCATGTGAGTGGGTGGATATGGCTTGGTGGTCATGTTATTAGCTGGGCATGGCCAACTCAATATCACTCACATCGAGGCACGCATTTCCTTGTCTGGCCTCTCATGACTGTGGGGATGCTGCAAGAGTCGTAAGTGTGAAAAATGGTCATGTCACTTTTTTCAGTGCCTTTGTAACTTTAAATAGTCACTCCACACAAGCAAAGTACCAGCAAAGGAGGGGAAAAAAACCTCCAGAAAAGTTCCAGAGACAGGAAGTCTAGTTTTGCCAAGAATGTAATAAGGGTTAATGGAGAGGCAGTTTCTGTAAGCAACACCAGAATGTTTCCTTCCTGCCTTCCTTGCAGGATTAGGCCAGTAATTTCTTCTAACAACCACTTCTCCAAACTGCTTAGAATGTTAACAACCAGTTCTAGCAAATAGGTGCGAACTGGTAGAATCCCACCCCTGTTTATTCCACTAGTCCCTTTTAATTATATATTCCACCATCCATTTTTCAACTGCATCACAGATAGCCGGAGAGTATTTTTCCATTTTCTCCAATGTTTGCATATCTGTAAGATTGAGGACGCCAGTCTTGTGTTCATTTCCTAGCAATAACCTCTGGACTTGATACTGCCTCAGATTAGAAGTCTTATCACAGCCAGATATCATTGCTAAAGATTCACACGGGCTTCTCCGATTGTTATTGGACATCAATAAAACAAGATGATGCTAATCAAGGTTAAGGACTAAGATTTCCCTACGTGGCTGGTTTTAATGGTTAGAAAGCAAGAGATTGTGAGTTCTAGTCCTGCCTTAGCCCTGAAGGCTTGGCCCACAATGGTTAGAAAGCAAGAGATTGTGAGTTCTAGTCCTGCCTTAGCCCTGAAGGCTTGGCCCACTCACTCTTTCTCAGCCCAACTCACTTCACACAATGGTTGTTGTGTAGAAAATAGGAGGAAAAAGGCAGGCAGGATATGTTCACTGCCTTGAGATATTTATAAAAATTAAAAATTGAACTGAATTGCTGGCTGGGGAATTTTTGGAATCCAAAGTTCACCCATCTGGAAGTCAGTCAAATTGCTCCCAAATAAAAGAAAGGCCACAGCATTACATATCCAAGTTCTTTAATGCGGCAGTAAGTTTCCAAAATCACAACACAACCTCTCAACATTCTGCTTAACGCTTTACTCTAATGCCACTCAAAACTCTCCGTTCAAAACTCCGGACGTCATTAAAGAGTGACTAATTTTCTCAGGACGCGTCTTGCCCTCTTTGACTCATTATTCCATTCATCCATTCGAAAGCAAAGCTTTTGGACATTTCCTGCTGCAAAATTCAGGAGTTTCTAATTTGAAAAGGGACGAAAAAGAGAGGAGAGCATCTTGATGATGGGGAGCAGATATTCAAAACGTGAAGTCTGAGCCAGGGGCAATAAAAAAAAAAAAGCTAAGTTTCCCTTTAATTATTCCCAATAAGAATATTTCAGGTTTAAATTCTATTTGGTGTTCTGTTATCTCCTGTAACCATCTTTGTATCTTCATCCAAATATTTTCTAGCTTTTGGGCATTGCCACCACATGTGAAAAAGGGAAATTTAGCAAACAAATCCAATACATCATACTGCATATGATAACAGCGGTGAGGACAGTTTCTGCAGAGGGTTGGAAATCAGAAAATATACCATCCGAAGAGATGTCGATACAAAAAATATTAGATTGTGCTGAGATGGACAAACTTACAACAGAACTGAAAGGCAAGGAGGAATTAGAATACTACATGGTTTGGGATAGATCAGTGGTCACCAACTGGTGGGCCGGGGACCACTGGTGGGCCGTGAGAAAATTTTGGTGGTCTGCAGAGAAATGCCACCCCAAGAGCACCCCCCAAAGTAATTAATCAAGGCTGTGCCCATGTGGGCACATGGCTTGTGGGAACCCTCCCCGTCCACTCACTCCTTACCCGGCAAACTTGCCTGCTAAATTGCTATTTTTCCTTTTTCCGACCATCAGCTGTTCTGCTGTGCCGGGAGATTTAGATTAGCAAGAAAGCAGGAAATTGTTGGATTTCTTGCTTTCTAGCTAATCTTTAGATGAGCCAGACCTTCTGTAGGACTGAAGCAGTGCAGACTGAGCTAGCTGATGGCAGAAACCCAGATCTCTAAGTGAATCTGTGATTCTGTGAGCAACTTAATCTGCCTGCCTGCTTAGCCTGATTTTAGGTAAAAGTTGCTCTTTTTTTATAAAAAAAATTCAATATTTATATAAATATTTATAATATTTACATACAAGCCATGAACACCAAACCAGCCAGTCACATGAACATCAAACCGCACCCACAAATTAGGCCACGTCCACAAAACCGGTTAGCGGTCCCCGGGATTTAAAATTATGAGTTTGGTGGTCCCTGAGGTCCAAAAGGTTGGCGACCCTTGGGATAGATGGTATAAGTGGGCGGAATTTGGGAATAACGATTAATATATAGGAATAAATGTAAATATATGTATTATTGATGACACAATACTGTTAACAATGCAAATAGAGAGGTGTCATTTTTAAAATAAATAAACAAAAAATGGCTCAGCCCTGCCTGGAGCCATTTCATAAAACGAAGAGGGGTTAAAGCCACCTTCCTGCCTCACCCCAGTTGCTAGTCTGGGGTCAGCTCCTTCTGCAGCAGAGGCAGAGGTCAAAGCGCACCGTCCAATTTGAGTTCATGATTTACTTATTTATTTTTATCTTGGAAACCTTTGCATTCGACCGATGGGGAAATTGCTGTCTTTTGCATCCCAGCTCCTTGACTGCAGCTCCATACCCCCAGCGCCCAGTCCAGGTAAGTCCTCAACTTACAGCCACAATTGAGCCCCACATTTCTGCTGTTCGATGAGACGTTTGTTAAGTGAGTGTCGCCCCATTTTACGACCCTGCCTTGCCACAGTTGTGAAGGGAAATCACAGTTGTTAAGTGAGTCTGTCATCTGCATCTCTATCATTGTCTGGTTTGGTTCTGCAACCCAACAGGACAGACACAGACTTCAGAGAGTAATTAGGACTGCAGAAAAAACAATTACTACCAACCTGCCTTCCATCCATCAAGGACCTGTATACTTCACGAGTCAAAAAGAGGACTGTGAAAATATTTACAGACCCCTCACATCCCGGACATAAACTGTTTCAACTCCTTCCCTCAAAACGACGCTATAGAGCACTGCACACCAGAACTAATAGACACAAGGACAGTTTTCTCCCAAATGCTATCACTCTGCTAAACAAATATCCTCAACACCGTCCAACTATTTACAAAGTCTGCACTACTATTACTATTAATCTTCTCATTACTCCTTATCACCCATCCCCTCCCACTTGTGACTGTATGACTATAACTTTGTTGCTTGTATCCTTACAATTTACAATTGACTGTTTCCTAGTATGATTTGATCGCTTATTGTACCCTATGACTATCATTGTTGGAGCTTATGATTCTTGACTCTTGACAAATGTATCTTTTCTTTTATATACACTGAGAGTATTTACACCAAGACAAATTCCTTTTGTGTCCAGTCACACCTGACCAATAAAGAATTCTATTTCTATTTCTATTCTATCAGTTGCAGTTGTTAAACTAGCAGCATGGTTGTGAAATCTGGCTTCCCCATTGACTTTGCTTGTCAGAAGGTCGCAATGCGACGGTCACTAAATATGAAGCAGCTGTCAAGCACCTGAATTTTAATCATGTGATCATGGGGATGTTGCAAAGATTGTAACTATGAAAAATAGTCGTAAGTCCCTTTTTTCAGTGATGTTGTAACTCTGAACGGTCCCTAAATGACTCAGAGGATTAGTTCTCGACCAGCAACAGTTTGTTTAGTGACTGAAGTTACAACAGCTCTGAAAAAAGTGACTTTTAACCATTTTTTCACACTTATGACCGTTGCGGCATTCCCACAGTCATGGGATCAAAATTAAAAATGTTTGGCACAACTGACTCACATTTATGACAGGTACAGCGTCCCGGGTGTTGGGGGTCACGTGATCCTCTTTTGCAACCTTCTGGCAATCAAAGTCAATGGGGCAGCCAGATTCATTTAACAACTGTGTTCCTAACTTAACCACAGGGGTTCACTTAACAACCAACGCAAGAAAATGGGACAAAACTCACTTTAACAAATGAACCAGCAATATCAATTTGGGTCATAAGTGAAGGACTCCCTGGGGATGCACAACATCTGTACAAGCAGGTCCTCAACTTATGACCATTCTTGTAGCAAATCGGGCCTCCCCCCCCACCTCTGAGGCACCCCGTTCCACATAATGACTGTAATGGGGAGAGCTGGGATCGCTTCAACGACAGAAACAACCTCATGACCGTAATTCTCCTCTCAACTGTGGTCATAAATCAAGGATTCCCTGTGGATTGAGAATGTACAGGTAATCCTCCATTTACGACCCTTCTAGCAGCAACCCAGGGCCTCCTCCCCCCTCGAGGCACCTTGTTCTGCATAATGACCATAATGGAGAGAGCTGGGATCACTTTAACGACAGAAACAACCTCACGATGGTAATTCTGGGCTCAACTGTGGTCATAAATCAAGGATTCCCTGTGGATTGAGGACATACAGATAATCCTCCTCTTACGACCTTTCTTTCAACGATTCAGGGGCTCCCCCCACCCCTGAGGTTCTGCATAATGACCGTCAACGGGGGAGGACCCGGGATCGCTTTAACCGCTTCACGGCCGCACTTCCGTGGCTGTAAGTCGAGGACGACCAGGAGGGCAGTCGGTACTTTCCTGGGGTGGGGGTGGGGGGTCCGGCTCCCCTGCTTGAGCAGGGGGGGGCTGGACTAGAAGACCTCCGAGGTCCCTTCCCACCCCGGGGTTCTCTATTCTATAAACAGCCGTCTTACGCCCAGCCCCCCCCCGGCCCCGGACTCCGTCCTCCCGGGCCCGCAGCAGCGCCCCTCCTCCGTCCTCCGTCCTCCGTCCTCCCGGGGCCACCGCCACACTCACCATATTACAAATGGAGGCGATGTTTCTGACAGTCATGAGTCTAAAGGTTGCAGCAGCAGCGATCGCCCACCGCCATCTTTAGAAGGGCAAAGCCGGCATGGCCGCGGCCGGAGGAGGAGGAGGAGGAGGAGAAGCGCAGGCGGGAGAGGAGCCGGCGCGGGGGAGAAGGAGCAGCCCCGCAGGCGGACGACGGCTGCAGCAGCAGCAGCAGCAGCAGCAGCAACGAAGAGGAGTCCGAGGGCGGCAGGCGCCCGAAGGGCATCGGCCTGGCCGGGCGAGGATCAGCTGCCCCGCGCCGGGCACAGCATAGCTGGCGGAGGCGGCAGGAGGCGCGCACAACGCGGGCTCCGCTGCGGAGGCGCTTCGGGTGCCTTGCCTTGCCCTGCCCCGCTTCTCACTCGGCCGCTTTCCTCCGTTCTTCCCCTTCTTCCCGCTCCTCCTCCTCCTTCCCCGCCGCCGCCGCCGCCGCCGCTTCCTCCTCCTCCTCCTCCTTCCCTCGCGGCGGCCACTCCGCTTCCCGTCCCTCCATGGCAGCGCAGCGCCCGGGATCCACTTTGACAGCGGCGGCCGCGGCGGGTTTTTTTTTTTTTTTTTTTTTTTGCAGGGGGGGGGGGGGGAAAGAGAGAAACGGGCGGTCAATCGCCGTGGGTGACGTGGACGCCGACCAATCGCCGCGACGCTTCTCGGGAATGGCGGCGCCGAACGCCAATGCGGGCGGGCGGGAGGGGAGAAGTGGAGGGGGGGGCAAGGCCAAAGGCAAGGCCCGCCCACCAGGCCAGCCTAGAGATGCCATAGCAATAGCGCTGAGACTTATATGCCGCTTTGCAGTGCTTTTCTTAAACAGCTCTCTCTCCATGCGGGTTTACAGAGTCAGCCTCTTGCTCCCAACAATCTGAGGTCCTCGTTTTACTCCCCTCAGAAGGCTGAGTCAAGCGATGCTGGGGGGAGAGGAATGGTACAGGGCTTCCTGCCTGAGCAGGAGGGTTAGACTAGAAGACCTCCAGGGTGCCTTCTAACTGCATGGGAACCCAAGGCTGTGCGGCCTACATGGCCCGCAGGAACACAAGGCTTGCGTCGCTTGCATTACAAACAACATGAGGTAGTGAGGGGAGGGGGGGGGGGGGGGGGGAAAGGGCGGAGGGTGGGAACTTGCCTCACTCGCCCCACACACCTGACCTGGCCACGGGGCTGCTTCTTTCTGCTTCTTTTTTCTTCTACTGCATTTGGCTGCATGCAAGGAAAGCAGCAAAAGTCTTTTTTTCCTCTCCCCCAAACTCTGCCAGAAATGAGTCTTTGGGACCTTGCAAGGCCTCCTGCTCCAAGAGGCTGCGCCGGTGCGACAAGTCTCACAAAGAGTCATTTCTGGCGGAGTTTGGGGGAGAGAAAGAAAGATTTCTGCAGCTTCTGCTGCTTTCCTTGGATGAAGCCAAAAGTTCCCCCCCCCCTCACCCCCCCAGAACAATTCCAAATAAAGAATGATTGATCTGGCCACTGGGGTGGAAAATGGGGTGAGGAATTTCCCTGCAGACCTTTTGGGGGATTTTCCCAGGGTCTCTGGTCCTCGGGATTTAAAATTATGAGTTGGGTGGTCCCTGAGGTCAAAAAAGGTTAGCGACCCCTGGAATAGAATAGTATAACAGAGTTTGAAGGGACCTTGGAGGTCTTCTAGTCCAACCCCCTGCTCAGGCAGGAAAACCCTATATACGATTTCAGACAAATGTAATTTGTAGCGCTCCATCGCACGCCCCTCCCACCCCCAATTTAGGTCATTGTTATGTGAGGCGTTTGCTAAACTGGATCACTGCAAGGCCGTTAAGTGAATTGTGGCTTCCTCCTTTGCTGGTCGAAAGGTTGCAGAAGGGGAAATCACCTGACCCTCTGGGCCGCTGCAGCCGTCGTAAATGTGAATCAGTTTGTCAAGCATCCGAATGGAAATCGTGCGACCGTGAGGATTGCTCCTGCAACGGTCGTTAAGTGTGCAAAATGGGTCACAAGTGTACGAAATGTTGCTTTTTTCGGTGCCGTTGTAACTTCGAAGGGTTGTACGTTGGGGACTGTCTGGTACATGCACACATTGGGTGGCTCCTTAGGCCCGCCTGAAGCCTGGAGCTGAAGTTTTGACTGCTGGGCAGGATCCCTCCTGACAGTTTTTCCCCGCTTCTCCCCCGATATTCCAGAGCAATTCGCCTTTTGGGAATCGAACCCTGGAAAACCGTGGGAAGCTCCCGCTTAGAAGCAACCTAAAGCCTCTCCTGTTAACCAGGATTGCATGAATAAGTAAGATTTTTTCTCACAACGGCACAGGAGCCCCTGGCCAGGTCACCGGAGATGCTCAGAGGTGAGATTCAAAAATGCCAGCAAACGGTTCGCGGCCCAGTTGCTGGGTGGGTGTGGCCTACTGGAACATTCCCGGGAAGGCTGTTTTTCGCTTTCCCAAGGGTCCAGAGGCTTCCCTCGGGCCTCTGGGAGGGTGAAAATGGCCTCCCCTGGGTTCTGGAGACTTGAAAACACAGCAAAACTCACACAGTTGGGAAGATGCTAGGAATACAGATAAGCCACGACTACATAAGATAAACTCGTGTTTGCTCCCAATAGCCTGCTGCATACAGCTTGCCTTTTTCATAAACTGGGTTCCCAGCTGCAGCTAATGAAGGGAATCAGGGCCCTTTCCTCCCCCGTAAGCCATGCAACCCACATTGCTCCGTTCCTCCCTGCATGCCCTAGGATGAAGAGGGGATGGTCCTGGTTTATCCTCTGAACTCCGTCTCCCTTGTTCTACCTCTATCCTGCTCTGCCCAGCCGGACTTTGCCTTTCCCCAGTTTCCTCCACAGCCAACTGAGCCACACTTCCACTCCCTGTCAGTTGATTGTCTTCCTCCTCAGATTCAGACTCCGACATGACATAATAAACTGCTGTAAGTCGAGGACTACTGTACTTTTCCATAGCATGTCACAGACGCAAACTTGGAATTGTACTCAATAACCAGGGATTCCTAATTCAGTTTTTTTCTTTTTCAGTTTCTGGGCACCGGCCATCCTCTTTCAGCTAAACAAGAGTATACATTCATGCTGTCGGCTCAGCCTGCCAGTGTTGCGCCAGAATAAAATGTTTGACTAGTCATTCCTTCCAGTCCAACAGGTAGAACCGGAGCACAGGTTTTATAACTGAGACGTTAACATAAGATATGCTGCCCACAGCATTTTTCTCCACAGGGAAACCTCAACCCGTTTGTTTAACAACTGTTCAAAGTTATGACAGTGCTGCAGAAAGAGATTTGTGACTAGTCCACACATTTATGACCATTTCAGACATCAATCGTGTCATCAAAATATATAGTGTCAGTTGTAGCATCCTGGGAGTCACAGGATCAATATATGTGATCTTTCCAGGGGGCTACCAACAAACAGATTCTTGGGGAAGACCAGGTTTCCTTAAGAAACACAGTTATGGAATGGAATGGAATAGAACAGAACAAAGAATAGAATAGAATAGAATAGAATAGAATAGAATAGAATAGAATAGAATAGAATAGAATAGAATAGAGTAGGGTACGGTAGGGTACGGTAGGGTACGGTAGGGAGGGGAATGGAATGGAATGGAATAGAATAGAATAGAATAGAATAGGATTGAATTGAATTGAATTGAATTGAATTGAATTGAACTGAATTGAATTTGAATAACAGAATAGGAAATAGAACAGAGCAGAACAGAAAAGGAAATAGAATAGAATAGAATAGAATAGAATAGAATAGAATACAATACAATACAATACAATACAATAGGACAGAATAGAATAGGATAACAGAGTTGGAAGGGACTTTGGAGGTCTTCTAGTCCAACCCCCAGCCTAGGCAGGAAACCCTACACCACTTCAGACAAATGGTTATCCAACATCTTTTTAAAAACTTCCACTGTTGGAGCATTCACAACTTCTGAAGGCAAGTTGTTCCACTGATTAATTGTTCTGTCCGCAAATTCCTCCTTAGTTCTCCTTCATTAGTTTCCACCCATTGCTTCTTCACTCCACTAGCAAAGTAATATTGGATCTGACTCATTTTGTGACCGCTTTGCTTAACAGGCGAAGTTCAGGCCCCACACTTCTGGTCAGAAACAGGGCTATCTGTATTTTGCTCTATGCAAAAGAATAAATAAGCATGAATCTGACATTTTTTTTAAAAAAAGATTCAAGCCAGCTCTGGAAATCTTTGAGCTTACTTCTTTTGTTCATTTGGCCTCTCAGACTTTTTTTCCACTAACGTTTAGAATTTTTATCATCATGAATACTGGATATAACTTCCTGGAAGAACACAACAGAAAAATCTCTCTGCAGTTCAAGATCAAGGGAGGTACTAATACCACTCTATAAAGCCTTAGTAAGACCACACCTAGAGTACAGCATCCAGTTTTGGTCACCACATTATAAAAAAGATGTTGAGACTCTAGAAAAAGTACAGAGAAGAGCAACCAGGATGATTAGGGGACTGGAGGCTAAAACATATGAAGAACGGTTGCAGGAACTGGGCATGGTTAGTCTAGGGAAGAGAAGGACCAGGGGAGACAGGAGAGCAGTCTTCCAATGGTTGAGGGGCTGTCACAGAGAGGAAGGAGTCAAGCTATTTTCTAAAGTGCCTGTAGGCCATACAAGGAATAATGGATGGAAACTGAACAAGGAGAGATTCAACCTGGAAACAAGGAGAAACTTTCTGACAGTGAGGACAATCAACCAATGGGACAGCTTGCCTTTGGAAGTTGTGGGAGCTTCATCACTGAAAGCTTTCAAGAAGAAACTAGACTCCCATCTGTCAGAAATGGGCGGGGGGTTGGACTAGATGACCTACAAGGGCCCTTCCAATTCTGATTATCTGTTATCTGTTATCAGTTTGATGGTATTTCAAGCCTTGTCATTTGTCTCTGCCTTGTCACTTATAGTCTCTTCTGGTGCCCCCCTCAGGCAGTTCTGAAAAAAGTGACCTATGACTGTTTTTCACACTTATGACCATTGCAGCATCACATGATCTACATTCAGACACTTGGTAACTGACTAGTATGACCGTTATGTGATCACCTTCTGCAACCTTCTGACAAGCCAAGTCAATGGGAAATCCAGATTCACTTCACAGCCATGTTACTAAGTTCACCATTCCAGTGGTTTACTTAACAACCATGGCAAGAAAGGTCATAAACTGGGGCAAAACTCACTTAGCGACTGTCTCGCTTAGCAACAGACATTTGGGGCTCCATTGTGGTCATATGTTGAGGACTAGCTGCACTTTTGCACCAGTACAACCATGGTTGAATAAAATCTACCTCACCATTTTTCAACTTGAGGCACTTACAGATGCCTGGACTTCAACTCCCAGAATCCCCCAGCTGGCCATTCTAACTGGGGGATTCTAGGAGTTGAAGTCCACACATCTTAAAACAGCTGAGGCTGAGAAATACTGGACTAGAACTATATTCTCCAAGCCTGGCAACTTTTAGGAATGTGCACCTCGATTCCCAGAATTCTTGACTGGGGAATTTGGAGAGTTAAATTCCATTTATTCAGAATCTGTTGAGGTTGGAAAATGCTGCT